ATGACTATGACAGATCCGGTCCTCCCATAGCGCTTACGAGACTGACTGCTCAGTAAGGCACAGTGACTGTGTCACCCCAGCCTGTGGAGACCAGGCCCCTCGACCTTGACCAGGCCCCTCGACCTTGACCAGGCCCCTCGACCTTGACCAGGCCCGCGATTCATCTCAGCTGAGGCGAGCTTCACCTCCTGCCTGCCTCAGCGCATCCCTGATTTGGACGGCCTTCCCTACGAGATCATACGGTGCCCCGAGGCTAGAAAGGACGACCCGCTGGCGAACACTGCCACAGCCGCCTGACACCCTCCGGAGATCCAAGCGGCTCCCACTCCCCCCCCCCCCCACAGGGGGCCAGAAACACAAGAGACGACGAAAGAGTGAGCGTGACCAAACAAGGCGGGTGTATGGCATGATGTAAGGGTTGCCATGACGATGACAGGCGTGATGAGGGTGGCAGGGCAGGTACCTGGTTGTTGGAGATGGAAAGGCGCAGTGGGGACATCTTCCTGTGCTTGGCCTCGCAGGCTGCCTTGCCCTTGGCTCCCTCGTAGTCCAGCGACACGTTCTGGTTCTGGGCCGTCTCGCTCTCCCGCTCGCGGGGCGCCTCCTTGTCCTTGCGGCCGCGGCGGCGCCGCGACTCAGGGCCAGAGCTCAGGTTCTCCGTGGGTTCCGTGTTGTGCCTAAGCACCGGACACTCGGGGTTCTCCTTTAGACACGCGCAGTCCACTTTGTACTTGCTGCGAGGATCAGGGTGCGGTAAGGGGAGGGGGGTTATGATGGCATGTGTGCGTGTCACGGCGTTGTATATCACAGGTGCTACGTGCGAGAGCACTCACCAGCTGCCGTAGTCATAGTCGAAGTCGATGGTGATCTCGTTGCCCTTGGTGATGGGCTTCACCGAGTAGATATACAAGTGCAGGGTACCGCCCTCGATGGCGTGCCGGACCTGGGGACACGGGCGGGGACACGGGCGGGGTCAGGGGGGGCCACAGGGGGGGCGCTGCATGCCAGCGGCCAGTGGGGCAAGGGGGGACCTACCTCTGCGTTGGGGGTGCAGGACCGGCGGATGAATCGGGCCTCATTGCCGAAGCTGCGAGCGTCCACGCACATCTCCAGCCCGTGGAATTTGGAGTAGAAGAGTACGAATGGGTAGGGCCTGGAGACACCGAGGGGGGGGGGGCTCGTAAGACAGGGACATGCTGAGGGGGGCATCCAGAGCGGCAAACAGACACCTGTGGAGCTGGCCTGCCCCCTACAGGCGGAGCTGACCCACTACAGCACACAACCCCAGGGCCCCGGCCCAGCCGACCTCACCTCTTGAAGAAGTAGCCGTTAGCCTCGAACTGCTGCCGCAGCATGAACTTGCCGCGGTACTCGATGATGAGCGCGTCCGCCGGCAGGTCGCGCACAGCCTTCAGGATCTTCTTATTCCTCTGCACCTGGCTCTGAGAGACCAGAGCGGAGGTCAGTGCTGAGGGGGTGGGGCCCGCACACGCACACGCACACGGGTCACTGAAGTGCGCACGCACCTCCACCGGCGGCTTGAAGGAGGCGCTGTGGCTGCTGCAGTCGGCCGCCTTGGCCTCCCCCGGCCCCTTCATGCTCAGCAGGAGCTGCATCTCCTCGCTGTAGCGATTACTGCCTGCCTCCTCGTATTGCTCCACCCAGGCCTTGATCGTGTTCTCCCACAGGGAGGGCGAGTCCGTGGGCTCCACCTCAGGAGCGGTGCCCTGGCAGGAGAGGAGGGGAGGAGAGGAGATCACTCAGTGCAGAGTACCCAAACCCAGAGTCCACCACAGGCACACGAGTGTCGATGCGGAAAAGCACCTACTTTTACGCGGGAGGACTTCCTGGATCCCTCACGAAAAGCCTGTGGGAGAGAGAAGCAGAGTGAGGTCACACAGCCCCACGCACGCCGGGCTCCCCGCACCTTCTTGGCCCTGGCAGGGGCTGCAGGTGGCTCCTTGTCCACGCTCTTCTTGCGTTTCTTCTCGGCCTGCTTGCTGGGCGTGCGGGCTGTGCTCAGCGCGATGTTGGCCGCCGTGTGCTGGAAGGCCGTGTACAGCTCCAGCGGCACCTCATCCCCACTCTCTGTGGCGCTGGTATCTCCATCTGCCAAGGCATGGGCGTGCGGACGGCTGTCACAGCCATACGGACCTCACACCACATCAGGATTTGAACCCGCGACCCTGCGATTCTGCACCAGCGATGTCGCGCGGTTTCCACTTTTGCCGACAATTTAAATGTCGTGGCACAGCACAGACCACTGGGTGGCAGTGTGACACAGCTCAGACCACCCAACGTTAGTGTGTCCTTCATTTACAGTCAATATGTAATTGCAAAATACATTCCCAAGTATATCACTTCAATTTGCGCAGCACAAACCAAAATTAGTTATGGTATTTTTATTTTAACAAGAAAGCATGGTTCTAATTTTTTTTGATACGACTTGCTTTTCCAGAAAACGACACTCACAAACTGAGGAGTAACTGTAATGCGTGAATGCGGGTTTCCGCCACACGGGGCAGCGTGACTCCACAGCAGACACACGGCCTAGAGGCAGCCTCTCACCTGACATGTTCTCCCGCTTCCGGGTCTGCAGCAGGACGGCCCGGTCGCGGTCCAGGCTCCGAGGCTGGCAGCGCTCACAGAGGTACGTCTCAGGAATGTGCTGCCGCTCGATGCCCATGCAGTCTATGTGCTGCCACACACTGGTGAGGCAAAATGAGCATCAGTAGTGTGTGTGTGTGTGTGTGTGTGTGTGTGTGTCTGTCTCGGGGCATGGCACCATGGGAGGGACACCAGGGGGGTGGTGACAAGGGGACCTTGTGCAACAGCTGATGGGGGGACATGGGAGATGCCAGGTAAACGGCAGGGGGACAAAGGCTGAGGACCACACTAAACAGGTGGGGGGGGGGGGGGGGGGGGTGTTGACCTCACCTGGGGACCACATCGGGGCAGACAGGCGGCCTCCTCACCTGCACTTGTCGCAGCAGATCATGTAGCCGTCGTCGTGGGTGAAGCCACAGATGCAGCGAGTGACATCGGCCCCATAGCTGCTGTCCTCGGAGGTGCTGAGTGTGGTGCCGCGGGACGCCTCGTCCTGGTGGCCAGGCACAAACAGGCTCTCGCTGGCACGGATCAGGACCGCCGGGGGCGAGGCTGGCGGTGTGGGTGGGGGCCGCGCGCCGTAGTTGTGGTCCTGAAGGGAAGGCGGGAGGAGCCATTGAGCGCCGCCAGGCGATGGTGACATTTAGCGAAAGGAGCTTGCATATGTGGGTCAGCCAGGGGGCGCTCTACTCACAGCATAGGGCAGGCCGACGTAGCTGTGCGTGGGCTGAGAGCTGCTGCCGTAGCCCTGGTGGGGGTAGCTGTACTTCACCAGCACAGAGCTGGCCTCCACTGATTCAGGCCTGCTGGACAGAGGGGCAGGTCAGGGGGAGTACGGGGCGAAAGCAAGGGCCCAAACACAGGAGCTGCCACCTTTCACGCTAATGGAGCCCTTTTAGAATACGACTTTGGACTGAAGCTGGAACCTGGCCCCTGGCGCTTTCAAACAGGTCCAGTCTGCGGCCAGAGTTACAACCTGAGAATTTTGGGGAGGTGCTGGTTAATCTCCAAAATCAAAATGATATATTATCAAGCCAAGCTGTATTTTCTATGAACCCTAATGTTCATGCATTCTGATCCCATCTGAAAGAAATGGAAACTGTCCCGCCAATCAATATGCAACCCCCACCCCCCCCCCAAAAGTACTTCAGTCTGCGGTCATTAAAAGGATGGGAACCCCTACTGCAAAATGTTTTCAGACTCATGGTAGGATAAGCTAACCACACCAACATGAAGCTCAGCTGGGCGGGGGGGAACGGAGAACATGGCCGATGTGTGTGACCAGCCCCCGCCCCCCACTGACTGCAGGGTGCCGACACGGACTCTAATCTCCGTATTATGCGGGCAGTTTGAACAGGGGCCCCTATTTGTTGGTGACGCCCTGCCTCCCTACGGACACGGTCACACACAGCCGCCCGGCCTCCATACAGACACGGTCACACACACACACAGCCGCCCGGCCTCCATACAGACACGGTCACACACACACACACAGCCGCCCGGCC